CCTCCCCCCCCCTCTTTCCGACACCGCGTGAGCCGGTACTAGATCCCGATGGCCCCGCCGTGTAGGCTCGTACGCGCTTCAGCCGGTCTCTCGACGCATTCCGGAACTCTGTGCCCATGAACTCCGTCAAAGCTCGCTGCTTGTGAATCTGCTTACCATCGACCTCGCAGAAGGACGATATCTTGCCAGGCCCATTTTCGGTGGCGTGAAGGAAGGAATCTAGCTCAACCCCCGCCAGGAGTCCAGGCTCCTCCGTGGCTACGGGTGCGCGCTGCTCTCCTTCATCTGCGTCGTCCCCGTCCTCAGAACCCTCCTCACTGACCGGGGCATCAGTCGTTCCTTGTGCCCGGGCATCAGTCGTTCCTTGTGCCCGAATGCCCGGAAACCCTCCACCCGGTCTTCCACACAAACGAGACCAGCGCATTCGGGACAGCCAAATATGCAACCGCAGCATGCGTTATGTTATGAGATTTTAGCACACGTGATAACTTTCCAATGAAGCACAGCGGTTTGACATGGAAACAAACTTGTGGCTGCTTTCAGTGCACACTGACAGCGTTATATGACATTCCCGCTCTTTCGGCATGCTACGGTTATCACAAGCACCGAGCCAAGCACCGAACCTTTTTCGTCTTCTTGTGCTAAGAGATCACGCAATCATAAGAATACTTCCACCTCTTGGCTTACCCGAAAGGCAAGAGCGTCGTGACGCCAGCCTTCTGCAGGTCTGAGATGGTGCCCCCGTTGATCGAACCCTTGAAGGAAGGGTGCCCCCGCAGTATGTCGTATCCGCGCCAACGGGACCCCCCTCCTCCGTGGAGCACGATGGTGCAGCCCCCGCGGGTGCCACGGGCGTCGATCCCACCGCCGCCGGCGCCACCGCCGCCGGCGCAGCAGCCGGGTGTATTACAGGGGGCGCACATTGCGCAAAGGACAGCAAAGAAGTCTGCCTGCTCTTGCCTCCACTCGCAGTTCCTTTTCTGATAGCAACCCACCAAACCATAGGTTGCCGGAGGATGGCGCACGGGGGAGCATGAAGCAGCGCTTGTGTCAGCTGTCATCATCTAGAGCCCTTGCCTGCACGACCTTTATCGCAATATACCAATAGCCCAGCCAAGCACACCAGTGAACGAAAAAGTACATCGTCAATAGTAGGCGGGACGCCGCGACTTTCACCTGTGCTCTTGGCCCCTCGCATGCTGGTCGACGTTTGTCTGCGACCACCTGTCACCATTTTGGATATGCTTGCCACACGAGCAGATCCATTGTCCTTTGCCATTTTTTTTCGCGATTGCTGCCACCGCCGGTTGTTTGCTGGGAGGAGGTGGCGCACTTGTCTGCGTCATCGCGGAGCTGCCAGAAAAAAACACGTGCAGGACGGTGGCCGGTTAGCTAACTTCCCCAGGCCATAAGCAGAATACACACGAACACCCATCGTCCATTGGGCCAGGCTCGGCCGTGATAACGATCTCCTCGAGGTGCCGGTACGCAAGCAAGACTTTGGTGGTATGATGCTTTGTCAACAGAAGACACAGACTTGAGACAGCAGTTTTGTTCACGATGGAACTTGGCTGGTACAATAACAAGCTTGGATTCAAAGCAGTCTTCGTGTTGCGCACAACATACCAACTAACCAAGTTGCTGACACGCTTGCCAACACTGCTGTATAAATTCAGCCGAAGATGTTACAGCCAACTTGATACAGCACACAACAGCAACAAAAAAAATCCCCCGAGTCAGGGCCTAGTTCACCAACTTGAGTTCACTGCTGTAAACATCGGCGAATGCAAGCCGAACGGAGTCTGTACAGTAGTAGCGACAAAGAAGCGAGGTGGAATTGTTTTGTTTGTGGTGATTCCGCCAGCAATGTTCCGTGAGTGCCTTGCCGCCAGCTTTAGGCTACTCTTACCGCAGGTGACACAAGATACCACACCCCCTGGACCGATGTTCTAAGCTCTCTACAGCAGTACAAAGCAGTACAAAAAGAGTGGCGATGCGAAAAAAGGCGAGGCGTTGGAGTTGCCTCGACGAGGTCCTGCCGAATAACTTGGCATCCTCCTCGTGGAGTGTAGTATATAGTTGAGCAAGAGCAAGCTTTGAAAACCAGTCGAGGGGGGGGTGGTATCTTATGCCACCCACGGCAACCCACGGATATAGCGGACAAACCAAGCTTGGACAAACCACACCACATCAAGCACCCCTGTTATCCTTGAGCTTGAGACCTACCCAACGGGCTTGGGCGGCTGTATACGTATCGACATTTGAGGGTAAAGTGGTTGTCACAGCCTGATAACCTCTCCCGTGCATGCCACTCGAGGTGACGCCGCTGTGATCTACTGGTACCAAACGAGATCTGCAACACACGCCTGCAGCGGGACGAACCATGGTTTCCAGCCGATTGCTTCAGGCTCATGTTTGGCCCATGCTTCACAAAGACGAGACTGGTTGCACTAGCGGAAACCAGTTCTGTCTGGTGCCACTGACCTGTGCTTTTTTCCCTGCTCGTGACGATCCACGTCCGCGTGTCGGGTGCCCTCCGTGTGCTTGCCGAATATGTGCTGGCACGTGCGACATTGCCATCCATGTTGCTCTGACCAATCGGCCACACGAGCGACTGGCGGGCTGCCGCCTGCTCCTTGATTCTCATGGGGGTATGCACGAGACGGCTGCGAAGACGTCCCTGCAGTGTGCGGGGTGTCCGCCATCTCTCTGCGGTCTCCGCAACTCCACAGCGCCAGCAGCGCCAGCGGTGATGCACACTACATGATAGAGCGGCACGCCAAAGCGCCAACGCCTCGGCATAAACCCCGGGGATGCATGGGTATATGTCCCCGCCCCCCCCCCCAAAAGCCCCCCCCCCCCCCCCCCGGACCACGATTTTCGATTAGTGGGCCTATGTGTCTTGAATTTTTTTCTACGAGTACCCTTGGATTGACGCCAACATAAAGTGACGGTTGAGGGTTTTGACGGGAAAAAATTCGCACCGCGTGTGCCCGTTGACACGTGAGAGGTGAAAAAAAAAAAATGGTGGAGGTAGAGTTCAAGGTTGGTTCGGGCTGCCACCCAGGGTCGACATTCCGAAGCGAAGACTCACACCCCCAGGCTCCCAGGAGACTAGGTGTACCCCTTCGCCTCATCCCGCCGACCTTCCCTCCTTTGCCGCGGCGACTTTCCCAGGCGTCAAACTGCGACTTCCCAGGCGTCAAACTGCCGTTCGTTGCTGATGAGTAAGGCAGCTGCTCGCTGCACTGCTGTGTATATACCGATGTCACTGCGGCAGCAGAGCACCGAACCCCGTGAGGGGGCGGGCGAAATGCACCTACTGACTGGCAAAGTCCGTGTACCCTCCCTTACTCCTCTCCATGTGCTCCCTTCGAGGGCGAGACTCCCCCAATCACTCCCCTGCCTATGCCCCTTTTTGCTGCTGAAAGCCCGTGCGCAATCGCGACGGCGCATCTACCGAACGCGCGCGCCGAACACGCGCGTCTGGCCACTTGGCCGCCGTGAGAACTGCCGAGACGCGTGGGTGCAGGACCGCTAGGAGCAATCAGTATAGGCATGGCCAATGTGTTCGCTGCTGGCCGCGCACAGCAGACCGCAGCAGAGCAAGCGTGTGTGAGCCACAGTCTGCACCGGTGGCCACTCGGCTAACCTTGGGGACCCCTTGGCAAGGTGGTCAACCCTGTAGGCACCCTGTGGAGGGGTTGCACAGGGTGCATAGTGACTACAAGGTACCGGAAAGGACCTTGGTGAGGTCTTCGAGGTTGTTGTGGGGGGTCGAGGTCCATCATCCCATTCTACCTTGCACCTTACGACACCCTGGGGTAGGTTCTCGTCCATACCCTGTTAGGGTCGGGGTGTTAGCAAGGTGGGGGGCTCGGGTCTTGGCAAGGTGCTGCGCCGTGCTAGGGTTGCCAGTCATGAACCTGCTACACATCACCACCCCCTGTACGGGTTGGGTCATGGGGCCTTGTCAGGGTTGCGCCTCCTACAAGGTAGTATGGGTTACACAAGGTTGACAATGAAGACCTTGGGCTACCCCCCCCC